CGCGCTACTTGTGTCCTGCTGAGCCAATCCGAAGCCCCGGCTTTGTGTTTCCTATTGCCGCGACACCGTAGGTCAGTGGCAGGGTCATTGCCTCACATCCCACCCGCCATGGGGTCATGTTTCCTGGTTGCTAATCTGTACGCCAGGGCCGACACAAAGAGGGCTCTCTGTTATGGCTGATCAGTCAAAGAGAAGAAGAGACTTCTGCAAAGTTAGCAGAAAGCTGCTGTCAGTGTAAGTCGGTGGTTTTTATGCGTTCCTGCCATGCAGTTGCTAAAAGGGGATTGTGATTGTGCTCTGTCGGTCAGTCCCTCCCTCCCGCTCGTCCCTCTGCTCTGTGTTCACACACACAGCTGTTTCCTGTTGAATGAGAGGGTATTTAAAAGAAGGAGAAAGGAAGAGAGGAAATCAGTCATTAACTATTGTTGGGGCGAAGGTTTGATTCCATTTGAAGCTTTTCACAACAACCGTTTTCGGTTAAAACTGAGGTTTGAAGGCAGTGAGAACCCTGCAGCGAGTCATGCTGACGTGCTGGGTTAACCCAATTAAATCATTTTCTCTGTTCCAGGCCCATGCTGCTTTCCATTCAGAAATCAATTAGCAGCCTCTTCAAACTGAGGTGAACTGTGTAATCCATCAGAGTGAAGACGATTGTGCATTTAAACTACATTATCGCTCAACAGTGTGTTGAGGAGCGTAGAGAAAACTGTAATGGATTTCAGAACTCGAGCTTCGAGAACCGGCCAATTGATTTTTATCCCCCCGCAAGAAAGAAAGTGAAATCAGTTGTCTCTAGAAATGGTAGGAAGCATTCATCCTCGAACTTAAAACTGCACAGAAAGCGTTCAGAACATTCAGCGAAGTCAAAGATTTTTATGCTTTGATGCAGGGAAACATCTTCTGATTTTCATCCCCAGCCACCGGGACAAAACAATACTCTGGCAGGAAAAGGGTGATCTAATGCAACATGAGGTACAATTTAATCAGCATATTTTTTTTTTATTCCCGTTATAAAGTCACAAGGATCTCATTTATTATTCAAGCGTGAGCATTTTGACCATTTCCTTCCTGTTTCTGTGCAAAGTGGAACATGTGGGAAACAATTTCGAGCGTCAGCAGCAACCTTCAGCTGCGTCGACCTTTTTTCACCTTAAGGGTGCTGAAATTAGGGTTTTACATAAATACCAAAGAGAAGAAAAACATTGTAGTAACACAAGTGACCAGCTATCAACATTTATATCCTTTCATGTACTTTACTTGAGGCTCCTTTTGTCCAATTGACTGCATCAATCCAACGTAGCATAGAGGGAGCCAGGCTGTGGCTCTTTTGAGCCTTTAGCTTTCTTCTTTCTTGGCTCTGGTGTCTATAATTCTCTGCCTGCAGCATTATAGTTTCTGTTATATATCAGATAAATGGATGGATGACGGATAGTGACAAATAGGGAGAAATAAATTGATTATAAACTATGGATGAACAAAAAGATTGATGATAAAGGTAAAATATTGTTGTTCCATCTCACTTTTACCTTCCAATTCATTTTTTTACTAAATGCTAGGATACAACTCACTGTGACCAGCTGACTTCCTTAGAAATCATCTTGTCTGACTTCTCTTTGTGGCGTCTGTGAGGGTCTGTCCAGTCTGCAGTCTTCCTCATAAACATGTCGACCTTAGCATAATATTTCCAACACCCCATTATTTATTGCCGGCATGCTATATTTAAATTTCCAAAGAAGTTTGCTGGGTTTGGCTTGGCTGAAGGACATTATCTTATAAATGAATATGGATCAGTGAAACATATCTGATAGCCTTTTATATTTTTCACCACTTTATTTTTATTAATAGATTCAGTTTTTTGTTAGAAAAGACTTTGTTAGCATGCAGGGTTTAATGATGTCATGTATATCATATTAAATGCTGAATTAGTGACCTGGCTTCGATCTCTATCGTTGCAGAGAAAGGTCGGAAGAAGCTTCTGTCCGTCGAAAACTGGATTTATGTTGATATTAATATTTAAGGGAAAGGTTTTACCCCGTTACCCAAAACATCCCAGTCCACTGTATCTCTCTTTGAGACATTACAATGTTTTAGTGCCAGAATGAAGCAACAGGGTTTTTTCTGCAGTAAAATCTTTCCAGGCATGGATGACTTTAGTAAAATGAAAATGCCTGGTAATCCTAGATGTTATATTCTGTCCCATCCATGTTTCTGAGTTATTTTTTGGTCTTATTCCTAAATGACCCCTAAATTCAGCAGGTGTTAAACACAGCAGCACTCTACAGTTGTTGTTTTTGTTTCCATATATATATTTTTATTGGGTTATGAGGATACAATATATGCCTTTTCATGAGAATCAGTCAATGCAATCAAGTGGTTTTCCTTAGATACAAAACTTTGAATCAATTGGACTGTATGAACAGGTGAACTGTAAAGTGCCTTGAGATGATGTGTGGTGAATTGGCGCTATATAAATAAACTGAATTGAATTGAATAAATATTAACGATGAACAAACACGACTCTCTCCCCCAACGAGAAAACAGGAGGGGCAGATGGTTACCAACAAGAAAACTACAACTAATAAATAAATAAATTAAAATAAATAATACTAAATGACAAAGCAACATGTAGAGGAGGAACCTGAAATGCTTGGAGAACAAAAATGTCACTAATAGTTTTTACATGTGCTTGTAGTTCTGCCACCAAATCATCAAACCAACCCACTGGCCTCTCACAATCCTGACTGGGAAAAAAAATAAAAAAGATAATTAAGCGTTATTCAATTAAAAAACAGTTAGGTAGTGTATATTAATAAGAACCATCTTCTTTAATCATCTAAGGAGGGACTTAAATCAATTAAGGAAAGAATGGGAGTGCAACTTTTCTCAAATTTGTTGGCACACCCCCTAATTATAGATGAGTACTGGCATGGGTGTTGCGATACGATACGTCTCACGATACTTTGGTCACGATGCGATATTATCATGATACTGCAATATCACTATATATAGTGATATTTTACCCAGCTGTCAAAATATATTGATAAAAAAAGCAAGTTCTGTATATGTTTATTAGAATCCATGTTGTTTGGGATTTGAGTCAGTCCACGTGTTCTACAGTGACTGCCTCTACTACAGAAATGGTGCTGTGACACACAGACAGGGCTGCACACTGCCATCTGCCAGAGAAGCTGTGCAGAAGAAGCCCATTTTCACTCACTATTTTAGAGAAAAAATTCTGCTTTTAAAAATCGATATTAGGAACTGAAAGATTAATATTATATTGGGCAGCCGCAAATTACGATAAATCACCAAATCTATATTTTTTTTACAGCCTTCTCCCTAATACTGTACTTGTTTTTTTTCTTAATGTAGAAGCAAAATTAGATCTTTCAGCCTAGAGTCAGGGGAAGGAGGGTTCTTATCCTTGCACTTGAGTAAAATGTTTCTGCATGCTAGCAGAGCAATAGCGTTACTTTCCCTGTTGGTGAAGTGTGTAAATTCTTCAAGCACACCAAAAATTGAGGTTAAAGGACTCTGCCGCACTGCTTTGATTAGGACTTTTAGAAAAGTATTGTAGAAAGAGGACCAGAATGAGCTTACGTAATTTGGGACAGGAAGAAAAAATGTGCGTATGACTGGCTGGTGACAGAGAACATCTGTCACATGTATCACTTGTATTAAAAAGTTTTTTTTAGTTTAGCTTTGGAATAATGTATCCTGTGTAGGACCTTAAACTGAATTAATGTCAGACTGGCACAAGATGAGGTGGAGTTGACCCTGTCAAAGGCCCCTCTCCCATCATTTGTCTGCCAAGGGACAACTCTTGTACAAGGCCACCCTTGGCCAATCATTGGCCACCCCTGTGGCCACCCCTACCTTTTAATTTCCCTCTAATACAGATGGTGGCAGCTGTAATAATCTCAAGTGGAATATTCAAAACATTTAAAATATTCATATATCAACAATTACTTGACAACAAAAACACTGTGGTTAATTATGCACATTAAAATACTCAAATTAAAGATGATAAGTACAGAATTCCTGCTCTTTGCAGATTTTGTGTTTCATGGGGTAAAGAGAAAATGTGTCTCTGCAAGTCATCTATGAGTCTTCTGTTAAATCATTGATAAATTTTAATAAAAAAACATATTAAATAATCTATTTATGTAGATATTAGTACATGTAAATATCATTTTTATCCAGAATTATTGTTGATAAAAGTAGGTAAGTAAAGACAATGGAAAAGATGTTCACCCCAGAACTCAAACCTGAAAGAATTTTATCCACTATACCTTTGATTTAGAAAGCACAGATGTTTAAATATATGCATCTTTTGCATCAGTTTGTTTTTATTTAGAAAATATGGATGTTTTGCTTGTTAATTTTCCTGTTGGAAGAGTGTAGGTCTGGTGCCACCCCTCTGTGTACATTGGTTATTGCCTGGCCACCCTTATAAACATTTTCTGGCTACGCCTCTGCCTGAGGCAGAGACTAATCCTAACCTGGAGGCTAAAGTTAACCTTTCAGGGGTTGAGAACCTCACATTCCCTCCAACGGACCAGAGATACTTTGCCTGAATCCATTAAAATCCCAGACTCCTGAATTCAAACTGAGTTAAAGAACTAGATGAAGAAGCTGTATTGATAATCGTTCTATCAGGGGGATCCTGATCCATCTGTGGGAAGCTCTGCTGGAGCTACAGATGCAGAGATAGAGACAACATTTGGCTCATCTGGTGGAGCTGCAGCATATTTAACAGAAATATAATGGGGCTGATATGATTATGGGGGCTATGTGGTCTCTGTTGCATTGATTTGTGTTTTATTTAATCAGAAGCCACTTCTTTAGAGTAAGAATCTTTTCAGGCAGAAGTCAAAATCAAATTGCTTTAATAATCAGATTAAGTCCTCTAATTTCATTTTTTTTTAGCCAGTTATGTTTCCCTAGTGTTTAAAAAGACATTTGAGTCTAAGCTCTTTTTTTTCCCTTCTTGTCTGCAGAGCGAATCAGTCAAATACTTCCTGGATAACTTGGATCGTATCGGACAGCCGGTGAGTCCCGCTTAAATGTTCCCAGCGTCTTTTTGTTGTTTGTTTCAAGAATTCACGAAAAATCTTTCTTTCCTTATTATAGAGCTACATTCCAAGCAAACAAGATATTTTATTTGCAAGAAAGGCCACTAAAGGGATAGTGGAGCACGACTTTGTGATTAAAAAGATTCCTTTCAAAATGGTGGACGTTGGCGGTCAGAGGTCGCAGCGGCAGAAATGGTTTCAGTGTTTCGATGGGATCACATCGATTCTCTTCATGGTGTCGTCATCAGAGTACGACCAGGTATGTTCATGTTGAAGCTCACCTACATGCACCTACATGCATAACGCATAACAAGTTGAAATATAAGATTTAGAGCCTCTGAATTTATTTGCACAGAAATCTCAGAAGGATGATCTTTGATCATTCCTGTTTCACACAGTCCTGGTCCCTCACTTATGTTCTCTTTAGCTCAGCAGTTGTTTTCTACTGGTTTTTGAGGCTAGAGATGAAAATGTTTCTGGAAACAGGTTGATTTTCTGTCTGATGAACCATTACTGTCTTTGCTAAAAATGTGAATAATTAATCATCCTTATTTAGGTCCAATTTTTCGTTTTTTCCCCATAGACAGTAAAATTTTACAGCAACATTTCTTTTACACATTTATCCCTTGTTACATCCCTGGAGTCTTTGCTGCTTTAAAGCGCAACCTCAGCACCATCTGACCAAGGTGCTCCTTTGCACTTCACATGTTTATACTTTTGACTTAAGGACAGAGATGCTTTTATATTTTTAAGATTTGCTCTAAAACAACCTGCTGGCTTGTAGATAACATCTAATTGTTGTTATGTAAACCTGGTGACCCCAGGAGGACAAACTTTGTGTCTTTTTCGAAGTGTGGCAGCAAATGATACTTTTGCTCCTTCAGCTTTGTGATTAGGGAAAATAGCCTGTAGTCCTGTAGAAAAGTAGTAAATCCCATTAAAGATTGAGTTTTTTTTCTTAAAAAAAGTTCCCTAATCAATTTTTGGTTTTTATTTATGACCATAAAAGTCCTGCGCCTAAAAGATCCAAATCTGAATTCTCAGATTTCCTTCCGTTTTAGGCTATTGTTATATTCCCAGGTCCATTTGCTCTTAAGGTTTCATTTTCTTTACAGATTATCTTTTATTTTCCTCCAGTTTCCTGGAGGAGGGGGGAATATCTGTATATGATTTAGGTCAAAACCTGTCTTTTGTTTTGTCACTAAGATTATTTAACTTTAGGCACATCAGTACAAAGAACTTTATCCCAGCAGTCCCTTTTTTCTTTTATCACTTTGTCAAACTTAAATCTGGCCTCTGTGTTTTTCTCGGAAAGCAAATGCTTCATATCATCAGTAACGAAAGAGAAACAGTGACATGTTAGCATCTTGCTTTCAAAGTGAACTTCCAGGGACTATCAGACCTGAACATGTTGGCATTTGTTTGGACTGTCCTCTGCCTGTTGAATCATGTTTCTCAGTGGAGGGCCTGATTCCAGTCCCTTAGAGTTATGGAGGAATGTCTTGCTTCCATCTCTGCTCTATCTTGATTATGTTTATTCTCTAAAAAATCAGTTAGACTCATCTATTTAGACTGGCTTTTAGTAAGTTTTATCTGTGATTGGTGCTATTTAGATATAGATTTACTTGAAGCTGCTTTGCTGCTACAGTCCTTAGTCTGAAGATGTCAGATGTCTCCTTTGATCTCACCAGGGTTCACCCTGACCCCAGCAGTGACAAGCTAACTGAATATATCTGGGGATTTTAGTAGGCAAACCTCCTGTAAAATGCAGAGCAACAACGCACTCCTCATTTCTTTCAATTAAATAAAAAAAAAAACATTTTCCAAACCTTTTCAGAAAGCGTTTTTCTTAACAATTTCCCATCTACTACAAAAACACGCTTTTTTTTTTAGTGTTTTCTCATTTTTATTATCTCCCTACATAATTACTGTATGTCCAAGGGCAACAAAAAGTAAAGGATTCCTAAATAGAAATTATGAGAAAATTAGTTGCTAAAAGACATTTATTTTATAAGAATTGTTTCAACAACTGTTAATTTTAGATATGTCAATTAATGCTGGTTTTTAAGCAGAGGGCATAATTTGTTGTCATACCAACAATATCTGTCTGCAAAATCATATCAGACGTTAAAAAGAGAACTTTTCCTCCGGTCTAAACCAGGCATGTCTCTCGTTTTTCCTCCAGGGCAGCTGTCCCGCAAGTTTTCATTGTCTCTTGGCTTCAGCACAGCTGATTTAGGCGACTGTAGTTCAAAATCTATTAATTAGCTATAAATGGAAATCAGCTGCGCTGAAGCAGGAAGACCTGCTGCACAGCGTCACTCAGGACCTTCAGACACGCCAGGTCTAAATGTTGTGAAAAAAAGGCTTTTTTTAATCTATTAATGTCTATCCTGCTGGTGGAAACGACATTCCTTTGGAAGAATCTTCTCTTGGTTGCATAATAGATGACGGTTGTCCAGCCTTAAGAAGTCCAATAGTCAGAAAAAGTCAAATATTTTGTGGAAAGTCTTTATATCAAAGCTGAGATTTGGTAATTCAGTGATTAAATCAGTCAGTATCTTGTAAAACAGAAATATTACAGTAGGACAGCTTCTATCTGAATTAAATCCTTGCTCTTAGTGTAATGGCTGGGAGCTATTTGATTATAACTCATTTAGTGAGTTTAAACACTTTCATTAGTGGTAAAAATCATTTAGGTTTAAAAAATCACTGAACTGTTGCCTTGCAGCAGGATTGTCAAGAGTTTGAAACTTAGCTTTCCATGATCTCCATTTGCAAGAGCAGGCTCTCTCTGGGTACTCCGGCTTCCTCCCATGATGCAAAAAATATCCTTGTTACATAACCTAAACTCTCTAAATTAACTTTAGGTAGGACTTTTTTTTCTCCTATTTGTCGGTTTGTTCTGCATCAGACTGGTGACCTGTCCACCTCTCATCCATTGACCTCTGGACACAGGCGGATAATTCTGGTCCAGAAAATAAGAAGCTTGTTTGGAGATTAGATCACCTGGTTAAGGGAAAAGATGAAGGAAAACTAAGCAGTGTTTAATTTCTAGACCTGGATTATCTGTCCCTGGATAAAGGTTAGAGATAAAAGGAGGGTTAATTATTAAAGGTAGTTATTAACACTGCAGACATGTTGGTTATGAAAGGAAGACCGGTTTGACTCATTTAAACATGAAGGTACTTTAAATAATTAGTGGTCTAAATACATTCTATGATGCGTTAGGGGAGTCTCAGGGTAGACATTGATGTTTATGTAATGCTGATACTGTGAAAATCTTTTTTAGACCAGCTCTTGATTTCTAGAGTTATGAAATGCATCAGAGACACAGCTGGGTTCATACAAAGCTGTCTTTATGGTGAACTGAGGAGCCCTGCTTGTTCTTAGAGCTGCGGCTCCAGTTCAAAGCAGGGGTCATTTTTATTGCAGCACATCCATTAATTGCTCTTCTGATAAGACTTGTTGACTAAACAGACCAAGGCTAATGTTGAGAGTGTGTTTGGCTCCAGCTTTTGATGGAGGACCGCAGGACGAACCGCCTGGTGGAGAGCATGAACATCTTTGAGACCATCGTCAACAACAAGCTCTTCCTGAATGTCTCCATCATCCTGTTTCTCAACAAAACGGACCTGCTGGTGGAGAAGATCCGCACCGTGGACATCCGCAAGAACTTTCCCGAGTTCAGAGGAGACCCACGCAGATTGGAGGATGTGCAGGTACATGGTTGATGGGGATATCTATAACATCTCTTTGTTTCCATCCCAGGGCAGATGGAGAGCGTCTTTGGGACTTCTGAAAGTCAGAATAAAAGGAATGTGAATCACAACAGGTCGTCTTCAGACTTTGCATTTGGAAATTTTTTCTTAATATTGCGTCAAAATACTGTCCCCTTAAAAAGTGAAGATTCTCTTTTTAAGGAAATCACACTTAACTGCTAAATAGAAAGGAAATTACAGATTAAAGAAACACATTTATTTGTATTCAATTTAGTTTATTTCTTCCAGCTTTGACTTTCAGGGGAATTTATTATTTTTTTTTTTTTCACATTTCTATTTGCAGATTAGTGTATTCTAAGTCCGATGGGTTGAAAACCATCTCTGAACAACAGTTTCCAAGTTTTGACACTGCTTTAGTCGGGCTTTCACTTGGCCTTCCTAATGGATCGATATGCTTTGATCTCTCACTGCAAAAAATAGGAAATCTAAGTAAGATTTTTCATATGAGCCTGTTTCACCTTGTTTTGAGCAGGCAATGTAATAAGCAGATTTATTTTTTTAAAGTTATTCAAGACATTTTTGTGCGCATGTAGGTTGTCATTCTACTCGAATGCAAATGACCCACTGAGCGCTCAGAAAACTCTGCCGTGTCGCATAGAACAGGATTTACCTGCTGCTCGCTCTGTTTGCCCTGAGAGATGGGAGACAGGCTTGTCAGCTAGCGGTAGCTTGCACCAAGTTTACTGCGACCGCATAGCAAGGCTATGAAAACAAAGCAACCGAGATATTATATTTTACTGAATGTTACCTTCTAATGGTTAGCCAAGCATTTCTTCTGCTTCTTCTTCCTCTCTGATCGATTATAGCAGAAAAAAGGGAGTGAAATCATTCCATCGATATACGTTATGATGCCAACATGATCCTCACACCAGACTGCTAAAAGTATTCCCGCGAGCAAGAGAAGCGTTCCTCTGCTTGCACGCATGCTGCAAATCCTGTGGACTTTTCTCTAGAGCTCTCAGTCGGGTTTCATTCCATAACTGCATGGTTTAAATGCCATATTGAAGCTGTAGGAATACATTTACACTAAACAGACCCTTATTTTTCCTGCCCTTCCTTCTTCCAGGCCTTCCTGGTCCAGTCATTCAGCAGGAAGAGGAGAAACCGAGGGAAGCCGCTCTTCCACCACTTCACCACTGCAGTGGACACAGAAAACATCCGCTTTGTTTTTCACGCGGTCAAGGACACGATTCTGCAGGAGAACCTCAAAGATATCATGCTGCAGTGACTTTTATGTTTATGTCAGTCCAACTGTGAAAACCCGCCACCATTCCAGCCCGGGAGGACTTGGCTCTGACACCACAGCCTACAATGTGTTCATATTACCTGTGGAGCCAGGAGTTCCTGCATGCCTGTGGATACCCTGCATTTAACCTGTGTAGATGTGCAAATGAGCTGGGAAGGAGAGCTAAACTCTGGGGGGGGGGGGGGGGGGGGGGGGGGGGGCAACACCAGCTACACCTGCATTAGCACCAAAAGGGTTGTTCCTCTTATGTACATAAGACTATGACAACATTGTCACTAAAGTGAGTTGAATGGCTGCCTGCCAGAAGCAGGATAAAGGATGGATAGAAGGACTGAGAGCAAGATGGAAAAGTCCTCATCTTCAAGTATGCGTGATGAGAGGGGAAGAGGGGTGAGGGTCTGGCCCCAAACTGGTCATATGCTGCGTTACGTGATAAGGTTGCACAAGTGTTCCTGTCAGTGAACTTTAACAGAGAGAAGAAGCGAAACCCTCTCATGCTCACTATCTCCCTGTAATTTACTCCCAACGTCACACGAGAAAGAAACGGCTGCAGAGAAGAAGTCTTCTGCTAATCTCCTCTCCCTCATCTCTGGTCCTCCGCAGCACAATGGACAGACTGTTTGTTTCCTCCTTCTCCAGCAGAAAACTGCAGACAGACAAATTAGAGATTCATCTTAGCTGAAGGAAATACAGAAGTCCTGACTTATACTCCACTCATGATTCCTCTCGTCCTCTTTGAATGCACCACAAATGCCCCAAACTTCACATAGGGCATGTTTGAAGTCTTTAGTAGTGGTTGTGGTAGAATTTTACCTGTTGTTTTGGGTAAACCCGAAGGGAACAGCAGTAAATAATGAGGCTGAACTGCAACTGACCCATTTCTCATGCTTCTGGGGGAGATTTTAGGCTTGTTTTGCAGTTTAAACACTGCAGCTATATTGAAGACAATTTAGTGTTTACACAAGTTTTGGAAATATTTCTCCTTTTTTTTTCTTCTTCTTCCTAACGGGGAATGTTGTTTTAAGAGTCCTGAAATAAATTAGTACTTCATTGCAGTAGCATAATCCTCAATTTTAAAAGTAAACACAATTCAGGCTTAAATTAGGATATATACCAGAAATCTTGCAAACCAAACTGTTAGGCTCTGAACATTAACAACCTTACAGCTTTTCTGTGGGGTGTTGTTTCTGGCTCTGGAAGGAGCCATTTTTGTTTTGATTTTCTTTTTTCCTATTTCTTTGATCATTATCTTCCAAAAAAGGATTTATAATGACTCCGGTTAAATTGGAGGCAGAATGTAGGAGATTTATATATTCTGTTATTTCAAAATGTCCATCATGCCATGTAGGGTTCTCTAAGGAGCAGAATCTGGCCCATTAGTGGGAGTTTGTTTGTTTTCTTTCACATTTTCTAATCTCTTAACCAGAGTGTCTAAAGGTACGTTCACAGCGGATGCCAGTCGTGCGAGTGAATTCCATGTTTTTCCTATACAGAGGTGTATTCAGAGGCGACCAAACAATCAGCGATATGAAGGGCACATATTTGGTGATCGGAGCGAAGCTGCACTGTGAGAACATGTGACACTTAGTGAAAAGTGAAATTTTGCAGATGTGGAAAAATCTGAACTTCTCTGTTAATTTGCATCGTGTTAATCAATCAGGGGCTGGATGATGTGAGGCTAAATAGCACAGCGGAACCCCTTTTTTTTTTTTTTTTTTGTTAAAACTCACCAGAACGGATTGATCCGTCCTCCTGCAGCAGTGGAGCAGCTCATGATACTTGGTCCTGGATGGAGGGAGGTACTATAGGAAGCAATTATCTGGCTGGGAGCAGATCTGATGCACCCAGAGACGCTGGTTTTATTCAGCTTTCCAGGTTCAACAGTTCAGTTCCCCTGAACTCTGTAAAGTTGAGGTCAGGTAGTTTGAACATTGAATTTCTTTTTTTTAACAAAAAACAAAACATCGATCTAGTAGATTAAAGTCACTGTGAAGCAACTTGTCGTAGAGCTAATCTTGCATTCTTCCTGTATCTGTTCCTCACTTTATACAATGATGCTTGAGTACCGTGGAAACTAGCTGAGATTGTTCACATCTGATTATCATCAGTGGATAGTAGTGATACACAAATAATAATCCCCCATAGGAACCAGGAGAGAGGAGCACATCTAAAGGAAAGCTCACTAACATATAAGCGCAGACTGATGAGTGGCACAGTTTAAAAATGGTAATATCTGTTGCAGAAGATCAATCTAAAACTCTTTTAAAATTTAGTTTAAGGAGATTTTTGATTAGTATTAAAATATAATTAAATTGTAAATAATACTTTGTACAATACACAAGATTTAATTTCAAATGGAGCATATTTATTGAAGATGCCAAAAATTATCTCATGAAAATATCCCATGTGTACTTTCAAATGTTGAGAGGAATAAAGGAGCAAAGTGAGCAATACCACATGATAAAATATATCTGTCTTATTGACGAGGGGGAAACCCTGGCCTTTTGCATGGGTTATTCATGCAGTGATTTAAACTTTGATTTAACTGTTTAGTTATTTTCAGAAATATACATTACATTTATATCAAGTGGGCCTTTCCGTCCCCCTGCTGCAGCTCCCAGGGTCGAAGGACTGTTGACCCCTGGTCTAAAGATTTCACAGGTCAGAGTCATTTTGGACACAGGCAATCTTGGAATTTTATGGATATGAAATTATATACATTATATACATTATATATATTATAAATTTATAAATTATTTAGGCAAACCATATCATACATATAAACTCTGAGTTTCAATTTCAAGCAGAGATAGCCATAAGAGCTGCAGTAGTGTGTAAACGTACTTAAGAATGAAAAACATGCTTTTTTTTTTATGTTTGTCACACTTAAGTGTTTCTGAACACCACAATAATTATATTAGTCAAAAGACAAAAGCTGTTAATGCAAAATTCAGGTTTTAGCCAAAGGATATTTTATACAGAATCAAACCAGGTGAAACTAAAATTTTTAAACTTGAGGAATTCTAGGTACAGCACATTTATTGACACATTTTGAAAAAAAAAATATTAAATTCCAAATATTTGTGTCTCTTTTTGTTTTACAAATTTGGTATAATCACGATTAATCCAATTAATTGTTTCAGCCCCAGACTGAATAGTCATTACTAATATCTGCAGCAGAATTTCCCTAGTCATATTAAAGATATCTAAAATTTGAAATTGCCTAGTCTTTGATTAATTGTACTGATCTATGACTTCAGTTTTAAATACAAAGTCATTCCTATAAAGTAATTCCAACTAGTGGGGGAAAAAAAAGTTCTACTGGTATATATATTCTATATATGATTATAATTACAGATAGTTTAGCTTTCCGTTTAAAAAGTGAAACCGGCTTGCCGAAACCACAGAATCTTTATGATGAGAGCTGAACTACATAGCATATTTTGCAGCATTCGGTGTGAACGTACCTTAAGAGTTCTGCATCTCTGATTTATTTCTAAACCAGAGAAACATGAACTTAATTATGTAACACTTTGTGATCTGATAGCTGCCATGATCAGCTAGGATGGTTTAGTTCAGATTCCTGATGTATCCGTCTTAAAGAAAATTTAGAAAATTAATTCATACTAACTTGTTTTGTCTTATTAGATAAGTATATCTGTGTGTCATCAGCACAACTATTCAAAATGACCCCTTTATCTCCTCTAATTCTGCCAGGTGGAGGCAAATCTTTATAGGAAAGAGAACTGACCTGAGCACTAAGCTCTGTGGTACTCCATAACTTATTGGGTGTTTGAGAAAGATTTACTAATAGATTATGCTACTGCAACATAATTTATTTATTTTCATGCATTTAACATGTTTACTAGAGTTGCCAATAAAAGGGGAGGGTGTAGCTTGTATTTTTTTCAGAAAATTTCCTATTTAAACCTGAAATTGAAATAAATATCTCAAGAAAATAAAACTGAAATATTTAATACAGAGATTGAACTAGTGAGGTCACGTTCAGAAAACTGAACAAAAACAGTTCTTCCTAGAAAAGCTCCAACATTTGTAACTGGTTGTAAATAACATTGTTTGGTTATTTAATGAATAGATACAGTATCAGTGGATGCAACTCTTTGAAGCATTGCACATCAATATACTTCAGAATAAAAACTAATCTGGACCTGTTTTTTTTTTTTTATCATTTTAATATTTCTCTTACCGTTATTTTTTTTATATATCCCATTTTTAATAAGAACGAAACCACTTTAAAAAAATCCAGCAAGTAGGTCTATGTAGCAAACACTTAAGCAGCTAAAGAAGCAGATGTTTTCCCAGAAAGTGGACAGAAAAGATGGAAGAAGTGGGTTGATAGCAGAGCAATTAGCCAGAACATAATAGCCTATATGTGACTAAATATCCCTTATTAGCTCACTTTGTCACATTTATAGAGAGGGACAAAAGGTCTGACCCAAAATACTTTGAACACCTGAAGGCTCTTCATTATTCATCATCACTAATTCAAATTACTATTCTCCCACACGGACATTTAATCCTCTGCACCTTTAACCCTCGTCTGGCATGAGGAGCCTGACATTACAGCCCATTAACTGGGCCTTCAAGGTTCAGCTGATGAAGAACGCACTCAAGTCCAAAATCTATCGAAATAAAAATAAATAAAAGTGTTAATGTTTGTCAGGTTCACCACAAAATGTTAACCGGCTATTTAGCACAAATAAAAGTACAGTTACTATAGTTACCTGCCGCCACAATTAGCCTGTGCTCTGATTTATGGAGGTGGTTTAACTGGCAACCTGAAACACTTGGTCACTTCACAGCTGCCTTCATAAATTTGCAAAGTTTAGTTTTATGTAAAATGTGTTGCAATGAGTTGCATTTTGGTACCACAGCTGTAGGGAACCGGGTTGGGTCTGGCCGCTTTTTCACTCCTCAGTGTTTCCTCTACTTGGTCTTGAGGGGAGAGAAGGACGCAGCGTGAACGCTTCACTCCACCTCATCATAAGAATAATACTGTGTTAGTTTGTGTTCAAAGTGACTTGTACTTCCTTCACACTGAATACTGTAAATTTCTGACTGACACTGTATGTACATATGTAGTAACATGGAAAAGTTTAAAATGATCTCAGTTCTTTATATTTTGCTTCCAAGTAGTCAGATATCATCTGTTTAAA